TTAGGAGACCCCCTGTTCCCCCTCACAAAGCTACAGTTCACAGAATTCCCTGTGGGAAAAGGGTTGATTGCTAAGCCACTCTGCGAATTGTTATTTCTGAGAAGGGAAGGGGGGGGTGTCCTCCGAACTACTCTCGGCCCCCTTAACAAACCACAGCTCCCAGAATTCTTTGTGGCAAGCCATGACTGTGGCACTGTTTTGAATGTCTGGCATGACTGTGGCCACCAGCAGTGGTTTACGACACGCGGCGCGACCCTTTATTTCTGTCGCTTCTCAGCTTTCAAACCATTCACTGGAGCCGTCAAGCTATTAGAGGTCTTTCAATCAATTAACTGCCTGGCCTTTTACTGATTAATTGAATAAATGTTAGCGCGCCTGTGGCAAAAGCTCAGTGGTGCGCCTGTCTGAGGAAAGAGGCCGTTTCTCTTAACTGTGACAATTCAATAAACAAAAGTCGCGATCCGCCGTCAGAGGGAATGCTTCCTTTCCCTTTACAACGTGGAGGGTGGGCTATGCCCAGCTGCAGTGATACGTCAAAGCCAAAGGAGCAGCTTTAAAAGATAAAAGCACAAAGACATATCCACAGAGAAGAGGATGTAAGCTTTATTTATTTTATTTTATTTTTTTAAAGGGAGGTTGCTGCTTATTGTTTCACTAAGCATCTTGTCTTGCTGAGCACCAGCAAAGTGTCACCCAGAGTGGCTGGGGCAACCCAGCCAGATGGGTAGGGGACTATTACTACTACTACTACTACTACTACTACTACTACTACTACTTGAAAAGAGGCCACAGTTGTCTCATCCTGAAAGACACCAGGGTTCAAACCCCCCACTCAGCCATGAAGCTCACCATGTGACTTTGGGCCAGTCACCACCTCTCAGCCACAATTAATCTCCACAACAACCCTGTGAGGTAGGCTAGGCTAAAACTGTGGTTAAGTGGACGCAGTTGGGTGTGGGAGGGGAAAGGGAAGAGCATACAAGCTTTTAGCAAGGCTAGGCTCATTCCCAACACAATAAACCATAGTTTATCCTAATGTCTCTTTCCAAATGCATTCTATGCAACTTTTAGCACAGTCTTCCATCTCCCATCCACAGTGAAGTCTAGGTAGGTTTGACTCACTTGCTAATTGTTCTTCCATGTCCTTTAGCTCTCCCTTTTGTAAGTTTCTTGAGGCAGGGACCTGTCTGCCAATACACACACACACACACAGTGGTACCTCGGGTTACATATGCTTCAGGTTACATACGCTTCAGGTTTCAGACTCTGCTAACCCAAACATAGTACCTCGGGTTAAGAACTTTGCTTCAGGATGAGAACAGAAATCGTGTGGCGGCGGTGCGGCAGCATCAGGAGGCCCCATTAGCTAAAGTGGTGCTTCAGGTTAAGAACAGTTTCAGGTTAAGAACAGACCTCTGGAATGAATTAAGTACGTAACCAGAGGTACCACTGTGTGTGTGTGTGTGTGTGTGTGTGTGTGTGTGTGTGTGTATCCGGTATAGCTGCAGGTCTTTCAGTACTCCTGAACTTAGGAGTTTAAACTTGCCGATTCATGAATATACATGAATCGCTCACAAGGTACAGCCAAACTTTCACTGTCAGTTGCTCAACATCTTTCTACATGTGTAAAAAGGCCATTCAAGAAAGTTTCCATATACAGTGGTACCTTGGGTTAAGTACTAAATTCGTTCCGGAGGTCTGTACTTAACCTGAAACTGTTCTTAACCTGAAGCACCACTTTAGCTGATTGGGCCTCCTGCTGCTGCCACCGCGCCGCCGGAGCACAATTTCTGTTCTTATCCTGAAGCAAAGTTCTTAACCTGAAGCACTATTTCTGGGTTAACGGAGTGTGTAACCTGAAGCATATGTAACCTGAAGCGTATGTAACCCGAGGTACCACTGTACAACTGGAAAGCAAAAGTCCGCTGCAGCTCAAAGAGGCAAATCCTCTAAATCAGGCATCCCCAACCTGCGGCCCTCCAGATGTTTTGGCCTACAACTCCCATGATCCCTAGCTAACAGGACCAGTGGTCAGGGATGATGGGAATTGAAGTCCCAAACATCTGGAGGGCTGAAGTTTGGGGGTGCCTGATCTAGATAACCCATTATCTGCATTCACCAAGGAAGTGCCCATGAGAAGAAGCTTAGCTCAGAGGGTTGCCATAGTGCCCACTTGGCCATCTGCTTCCCTCCACATCAGATAACCAAGGAAAATGCCATGCACAGTGGTCTCCTTGGGCTGCTCAAAGGTCTCTGTTGCACACGTCCACTTCCATTCAGACTGGACAGCAGCAGACCTTTCGACTGGCTGGAGGGCAGAGAGAGAAGGCTGGCTGGGGCTGCATGTTTGTGGATTGGAAGAGGGAAGGTAGGAATTCTGGAGCACAGAAGGGCAGGAATGGGGTGGATGGTGCAAGGTGGATGTGAAAGCAAGATGGCAGAGAGGGAAAGGGTGAAGCTAGAGTCATGGGAGGAGAGCAGAAAACAGAGTGGATGGGGATTTGGGGGAGCGAAAGGACATTGGTTGGGGCAATGGGAGGAAGGAGGAGCAGAAAAGAGTGTGTGTTGGATATTTTGGGTGCATGCTTGTGATTGGACAGATGTGGGGTGCATGTGAAAACATGAGCATGTGCAAGAGAGTGCACAAGTATTCTGAGGGTCATTCCAGCCAATGGAGAGAGAGAAACCAGGGGAGAGAATTTACTTAGAGCTGATTTGGAGAAATTAATTTTTGCCTTCTGGGTGTTCTGGTGGACAGAAAATTGACACTTCAAATGAGACCGCAGGTCTCTTTGTACTCAGGCAAGCTACTAGTGTTTTGAAACTGTGGGAATGTTGTGGATAGGAGGAGAGGATATATTGATTAAATATTATCCTTCCTCTCTCACGCTAGTGAGCTTGTAGCAGAGCACATTCCCTTGTACATTGCATGAAACTAGTGGATGGATTCGTGAGAATCATTTGAGTTAAGCAATCAAGCCTGGCTTGTCATGGTAAATCCCCTTTAAAAGGTAAAGGGACCCCTGACCATTAGGTCCAGTCGTGACAGACTCTGGGGTTGCGGTGCTCATCTCGCTTTATTGGCCGAGGGAGCCGGCGTACAGCTTCTGGGTCATGTGGCCAGCATGACTAAGCCGCTTCTGGCGAACCAGAGCAGCGCACGGAAACGCCGTTTACCTTCCCGCCGGAGTGGTACCTATTTATCTACTTGCACTTTGACATGCTTTCGAACTGCTAGGTTAGCAGGAGCAGGGACCGAGCAATGGGAGCTCACCCCGTTGCGGGGATTCAAACCGCCGACCCTCTGATCGGCAAGTCCTAGGTTCTGTGGTTTAACCCACAGCACCACCCATGTCCCACAAATCCCCTTTAGTTTCCTCTTAAAAAAAATAATGACACAACAGTCTTCTTTTAAAAGTAATGAATGTTACTTACATCCAGTTCACAGTATGGTCCTGAAGGCAGTGCTTTAGCTTGTAATAACAGTTATAGAGAAAAGTGTAGGCTCATCCTCTGTGAGGGATGAGCCCATGGGCTGCTGGCTGAGAGCCAGCAGACAGCAAAAGGCATCAAGAAAGTCAAGAGAGTCAAGAGGAAGATGGCTGCATGACTAGCCCCTAGTCTGCCAGGGTCACACCCATCTCCCTGGCCACACGCAGGGGGAGGATGCTCCAGACCAGGTGTGATAGGGAGTCCTCCTGGCTGGAGCAACATCCCCCTGCGTGTCCACTCTGGACAAACAGGAAATGTTGTATCTGACTGCTTCTTCAGTGATGTTACATCCCACAGCAACTAGCCAGTCCACTGCAGCAGATTGCGGTGATGCCCACAACAGATTTTCAAATAGCCAAAGGTGCCCACGAGCCCATAAAGCAGCGCTTCTCAACCTGTGGGTCGCGACCCCTTTCACAGGGGTCGCCTAAGACCAGGAGTCAGCAAGCTTTTTTGGAGGGGTGGGCTCCTCCGCTGATGACAGCCTCTGCCGCTCGCAAGGGCAGGCACAGGAGCCGCGCTTAGCAGAGCGGCGGCAGCACAAGCGGCGGCGGCAAACAGCTTGCTCTGACGAGGGATTGCTAGAAATCCACTCTGCCAGCTAAGCCCAGCCCCCTTCCTCCTCTCGGCCACGCGCAGCTGCCGCTCGCCCATTGGCCAGGGCCTCAAACCTTAGCAGGCGATTGGCCGGCAATTTGCTACACTGGGAGGAAGGGAGGTTCCGCCACGGTGAGGGAGAGGGGGCAGAAATGTCAGTGGGGGGGGGGACGGCGCCCGCGCCACGAGAAAAATATATATACATATACTACATATTGTTTTTGTGATTAATCACTATGCTTTAATTATGTTCAATTTGTAACAATGAAAATACATCCTGCATATCAGATATTGACATTACGATTCATAGCAGTAGCAAATTTTTCACTCCATAAGACGCACCTGACCATAAGACGCACCTAGTTTTTAGAGGGGGAATGCAAGAAAAAAAAATTTCTTTAAAGGGGGCTTTTCCGGTAGGTGGGGGAAGGGACTGAGGGGCTATCCCAGAAGCTAGAACAGCAAGAGGAAGCGCTGCACAATGATCCCTCTCGCTGTTCTGGCTTCTGGGATAGCTGTGCGAAGCCTCTTCAGGGCAGTGGGATGAAGGCTCCCCGTGCCCTGAAGAGGCTTCGCACAGCTAAGCCAGAAGCTAGAACAGCAAGAGGGAGCACTGCGCAGCGATCCCTCTCGCTGTTCTAGCTTCTAGTTAGACCGTGCAGCCTGCATTCGCTCCATAAGACGTACACACATTTCCCCTTACTTTTTAGGAGGGAAAAAGTGTGTCTTATAGAGCAAAAAATACAGTAGCAACGAAAATAATTTTATGGTTGGGGGTCACCACAACATGAGGAACTGTATTAAAGGGTCGCGGCATTAGGAAGGTCGAGAACCACTGCCATAAAGGAAGGCAGGGGAAGGGGTAAGTCAAACAACAACAACCATAAGAAAAGGCAGTGCTTTAGGACATCATGATCTCATCTTGTTCCATGCAGGTGATTTGTGGCCAAGACGAGGCAACAGAGGAAGAGGAGGAAGAAAGTGGGAAGTCGCCCAAAGAGCAACCAAGATCCCGGGTACAAAAGAAAAAAGGCCAGCTCTCCTTGAAACCTTCTGCGGCCCAATCTCACTTCCAGAACACCAGTCTCCTGGAGTTGGCCTCCAACAACGCCCAAGAGTTTTGGGACGTCTTAGAGAGCTTGTCCAAGCACAGCCAGGGCGTGCAGCCCCGCGGCCGGAGGGACTCCGTCGGCAACCCTGGCCGGCTCAAGAAAATATTTGGCTGGGGTGATTTCTACTCCAACATTAAGACGGTAAAGCTGAACCTCTTGATCACAGGGAAAGTGGTCGACCACGGGAACGGCACGGTCAACGTCTTCTTCCGGCACAACTCCACCGGGCAGGGGAACATCTCCGTCAGCCTCGTGCCCCCCAACAAAGCTGTGGAGTTTGACCTCGAACAGCAGATCTTCATCGAGGCCAAAGAATCCAAGATCTTCAACTGCCGGGTGGAGTACGAGAAAGTGGACAAAGCCAAGAAGACCACCCTGTGCACTTATGACCCTTCCAAAACCTGCTTCCTGAACCACACGCAGAGCCAGGTCTCCTGGGTTTGCTCCAAGCCCTTCAAGGTCATCTGTATCTATATCACCTTCTACAGCATAGACTACAGGCTCGTGCAGAAAGTGTGTCCCGACTACAACTACCACAACAATGTTCCTTATTACCCTTCCGGGTGACCACGTACCTTTCCCATCTCAGAAGCGTCCTGTATCCCAAGTACAACTTTGATTTGGGGTTGGGCGAGGAAGGAAGGGGGTGGGGCTGCAAGCAGGGAGGAGGACCTCTGCAGCACCAGACACAGTGGCAAGCCCCCAGCATCTGCTGAAAGGCAGGGGGGTTGGGGGGGGAGTTTGAGAGTCCCCAAGCAAGCATACCATCCTGGAAACACCTTTCCCACCCGCTCACCTGTCCGCCAGCTTTCATGCATTTCGGGCTAGCCCAAAACATGCAAATGCTCCAAGTGGGAAACCCATGTTGCGCTCCTGCCCCCCGTCCCTCCTGTTTAACAAGTGGGACATTTCCTCCCAGGAAGGGATTCTGCTGTGTGAGCCTCAAATGGGGCTTGCGCAGGAGGAAACCGCTCCCTGCTCCTAGAGCAAGGCACGGCCTCTCCGTTCCTCAGTCGATGGGTGTCGTGGTCTTGTTGCTGAGCAACAACGTGCAGAGCTTAGGGGAGTGGGAGACCAGCCAACCAGAAGAGTCTCTTAGAGGGAATTTGCCTGGAGGCAGAGTCAGCATCCAAAGTCAGGTCCAGTCCTAGGGTTGAGGGAACAGCAAACCATGTGGTCAGATGGTCCAGGGGTCAGGGTACCCGATGATCAAGGGTCAAGATGAGCAGCAAGGCAGGGCCAGGAACTATAAGTGTTGTTTCCAGCATCTGACTGCTGCTGAAAGCTCTGCTGAAGAAGGCTGAAGCCAGCTGGTTCTCATCAGCGCCTACTCCTGTGTCCTGGAAGGCTGGTCAGCGACAGATGGAGTCACTCTGCCTTCTCCCCCTTCAGGCTGCCGTTCAGCAGGTGAAGCTGGCTCCTGGCCCATGATACTGGGCAGTGGGAGGGCGCCCAGCTCCAGCAAAGGAGATACTTAGGAGCTCACTTTAAGCTCCTTCAAAGATACATCCACCCCACACCTGAAATCACATATGATGTCAGATGTGGGGTGGATGGGCATGATTTCAAGGGGAATGGACTTACAGGCCAAATTGGGATTCCCGGTGAGCCACAACTGGCCCATGGTCAGAGGTTCATCACCCCTGGAATAAAGGATGGGTCAGATCACTTAGTTTCCTAGTCTGCTGACCATAATGGCTCCCAAAAGAGATCACTTTGGGCTTCATGTCCCTCCACCCACTGAATTGGAAACAGGAAAAGTGGATTGAATTAGTAGAACATTTCAGGTTCCAAAGGGGCCCTTGCTGAATCATACACCACCCATTCAGTTCCCTGGTATATAGATGGGGAGCCTGGCTTCCCCTTCTTTCCCCATTTAATTGTCCCTAAGCCCCCCCCTTCTCTGACCTTGTTATGGCCAAGTCCTAGCCACCTTGACGGATAAAGTTTTCTAGCAGAGGCCTCTGAATATAATTTATCTGCTTCTATAGAATATCCATCAAGCAACCAAGGGCTTGGGGGCAAGGAGCAGTGCAGGAAACAAATACGACCCAAATAAATTAGTAGCGCTGTCACTTCATTTAGAAGAAATCTCAGTTTGTTTAGTACGCGGAACTTAAAACAAATGGTCGGCATTTGCATAAAGCCAAGTGGGACGGAGGCATTGAGAGGTGGGGCAGGGATCACAGTGCTCTAACTCAGATCTATCACCCCCAGGGGCCCGGAAACCCCAAATCTAATTTCCGTGGTGATGAGAAGAAAGCAAGGAGGAAGCCAGCTCCTGATTCTGCATCCTCATGCTGTGCTGGCAAGTTGGCAATTTCTACTTAAAGGAAGGCATATGCTTCCTACTTTCTTATGCCTACCAGAGAGTATGCCTTTTCAAGATTTTGCCACCCTCCTCCATTGCTGCTGGGTGATGTTGCACAGACCACAGCAAACACCATCTAAGGTAAAAGGTAAAGGACCCCTGGATGGTTAAGTCCAGTTAAAGGCGACTATGGGGTTGCAGCGCTCATCTCACTTTCAGGCCGAGGGAGCCAGCGTTTGTCCACAGACAGCTTTCTGGGTCATGTGGCCAGCATGACTAAACCACTTCTGGCACAACATAACATCGTGACGGAAACCAGAGCGCACAGAAACGCTGTTTACCTTCCTGCCGCAGCGGTACCTATTTATCTACTTGCACTGGCGTGCTTTTGAACTGCTAGGTTGGCAGGAGCTGGGACAGAGCAATGGGAGCTCACCCCATCGCGGGGATTCAAAGAGGCTCAGTGGTTTAGACCACAGTGCCACCCACGTCAGGGGAAAAGAGGGACATGGGTGGCGCTGTGGTCTAAACCACAGAGCCTCTTGGGCTTGCCGATCAGAAGGTCAGCGGTTTGAATTTAGGTTGGACTTAACCATCCAGGGGTCCTTTACCTTTAAACACCATCTAGAAGCAGGGGAAACAAAATAAAAAAATTCCTTCCAGAGGACCAACTAAGAGACCAACTAAGTTTGTTATTGGTATGAGCTTTCGTGTGCATGTTCATACCAATAACAAACTTGCATGCTCATACCAATAACAAACTTAGTTGGTCTCTAAGGTGCTACTGGAAGGAATTTTTTTAATTTTGTTTTGACTACGGCAGACCAACACTGCTACCTACCTGTAACTAAAAGCAGGGGGTCACCTTTGGCTCTCCAGATGTTGAGGGACTACAATTCCCATCTTCCCCAGTCAGCAATAGCCCATGGTCAACAGCTGGAGGTGCCGCAGGGACCCCATTCCTGGTGTAAGGAACAAGGCAGCCATATTAGAAGAGGCATCCCTCCTTCTTGGAGAAGGAATGAGGAAATGCTTCTCCCCAGTTCTGTCTTCCTCTTCTAACGTGTCAGGGTTGCCTCCAGGAAAAGTGGCAAGGTGGGGCATTTGTCACCCCCCCCCCCGCCACCACCGCCAAGACAAGCAGAAGGCCCTCTGCCCTCTCGGTGCTACCGTTTCTAGCTGATGCAGAGTATTCAAAAGAGCAGTTGCCTACAAGAACTCGGTTTGCACAACTCAACTCTACCAGGTTAGGAAGGCAAACTGGAGATGCCATGCCAACCCACTGGAGCTCATGTGGTCTGCTGCCCTCATCTTTTAACTACATGTATTTTATTTTAAAATCTCCCTGATTCTATTAAAATAATTAATGGACTGGGTGCCACAGCTCTATAAAAGACCTATTATTATTATTATTATTATTATTATTATTATTATTACTACTACTACTACTCATCCTTCACCCTAAGGTCCCAGGATGGATTACAGCATTAAAAACAATATCAAAAACAACTTAGAACCATAAAAATAAGGTGGGTCCTACAAACATACACCTCTCAAGTGTTAAAAGCCAGGAGAAAGAGGTACGTCTTCAGCATTCTCCGAAAGCTGTATAATGAAGGCAACAGACGCACCTCTGTGGGGCGCAAGGTAGCTCTACCGCTTAGGGGTTGCTGAAGAGCAGGGATGTCCAATGGTCGATCACGGAGCGTTCCTGGCCATGATAGTGATGGATTGACTCCCCCCAACAACTTTGGTCAATCCAATGGGTAGATCACTGCCAGTGTTTTTACATTGGGAGTAGATCACAGTCTCTTGGGAGCTGGACATCCCTGCCGTAGAGAACGCCTTCTCCTGGGCCACTGCCACTCCGAGTCTCTAAGGGCAGAGGAAGCAGCAAGATGGCCTTCTCTGTGATCTCAGCACCCGAGAGTTAGATCAACTTGATTTAACGCCAGCAAAACCCAAACACCGTTGCCTCTGAGCGTGACTGGGTAGCTCGGGCTCAAAGATTTGGCGAAGTCTCTGGCAGAAGGAAGTGGCAGCACAACCCCTAAGAATGGGCCCCTCTGCCTGCTCTTAGACTTGGCTCAGAGCATCCCCTAGGAGCACATTCTCTTTCTCATGGACAGATTAGGAGGGACCACAAGGGAAGCAGGCGCTCCACGACCAAACCAGATCGCAGGCAATGGGTGCAGCACAGTGCCTGCCCAGGACGATTACCAAAGTCTCTAAAATTTGTATTCCAAAGGAAGCTAAAAGGAGCATGACGTACTGAGGTCCCTCTCCCATTATTTCCAGTAGCAGCTTTCTCTTTTGAATTGTTCTGTCCAGGCCACCGTAAGCAACCACCAGTTGGTCTACCACTCACTTAGGCATCTTTTGAAGCTAGCTGGGCTGCTTTGGTGGATGCCAGCCTCATGTACTTGCCAGTAGCATCAACCAACATGGAGCAAAAGGGAGGTGAGGGGGAAGGACTTGCCCTGATGGCTCTGCCAGGAAGTGGCTCTTTGGTCAATCTAGTGCAGGGTTTCCCAAACCTGGGACCTCCAGCTGTTTTTGGACTACAACTCCCATCATCCCTAGCTAGCAGGGCCAGTGGTCAGGCATGATGGGAATTGTAGTCCAAAACCAGCTGTTTACGCAGAATGTGAAATTTGTAAAAGAGGAGGGCAATACGAAATTTCAAATGTGAATGCCTGCGCCTTTCTAAGCTGGAAGTTCGGCTGGGTGAATTATTCAGTGGGAAGAATCAGGGTTCCAGCCAATCCAAAAAGAGAAGTGTTTGGGCTCCTCAAATAATTTAAAATTTGAAACACACACATTGGGGGAAAGTTGCCAAATTCGGTTGAAATTTTATAGCCAGCATTGTGACGCTCTCCTGACATTCACTGATGCTGACAAAATGTCTCCACTATTGTGCCCTGGAATCTGAGCGCATGGGAGTCCACACAGGGAAGTTGTGTGTGCATTGCCAGGTTGTTGGGTGTGGTTCTCTGTCATTCACACATGCTGGGTGAGTGGGGAGTCCACACCCAGCACAGCAGATCCACCCATGGAAGCCTATTCCCAGGTGGGTTTTGCGGTTGCAGGATTGGATCAATGGACTTCGATGCAGAAGAGCAGGGTTTAAATCCTAGCTTCCCTCTCCGAACCCACTGGGTTGCTACAAGCAATTCACCCTCTCCCCTGCAAACATTAAGGACCTACCTCAGAGGATTGTTGTGATGATGGATGAGAGAAGGATTATAAAGCATTC